CCCTGGCTAAGTCCCTACAAGTATTTGGGAGTGCTGACCGTGATGGCGACCTCCTCTGCATGTCTGCGCAGCCTCCTCTTCGTTAACACGATAAATAATTCAGAGAAGCTTTAAGAGTGGCCATGAGGGAGGCGCCCATCACCCCGGAAAAAAAAGGAAGGCTCAGTACAGCTGACTCTTCAGTTGGTGCAGGACCCCGGTCACGATGTCCCGCAGCGTCTGGGGCAGAGAAGAGACACAGTCAGTTGTTCCAGAGAAACTGTCCCTCCTGCTGACCAGCTGCACCCTGGCCAGCTCACAGCACCGAACCAGCCCAGCAGCTGGAGCTCAGGCACTGCCTCCCTGCCCCAGCCCAGCTCCGGTCACACGCTGCCCTTCGGAAGCCCCAGGAGAGGGGACAGGGCACCCAGCGTCTGCCATGGGCACAGCCCACCGCAGCTCCCGCTCACCTGGGGCTTGCAGTGCTCCTCGATCCAGCTGAAGACGCAAGCCGAGAGCTCCTGAAAACTCGTTACCGAGATGGAGGCATTGAAGGACTGGAACAGGGAATCCATAATGCTTTGGAAAACATTGAACTTCACCTCGTCGGAGACCTGTTCCTTCCCCTTGTTCGGGTTGTCCTGATGAGCCTTCACAATCTGCTCGTAGTTCCTGGAACAAACCCAGCGCCTCGTGCTCAGCAGTGGCACGAGGCCTTGGCGGGGGGCAAGGTCACTGCCCGTCACCAGCCATCGGGCAGCGACGGGGAGCACCAAGAGCTTGTGGTAACTCAAAGACCGGGCAGGAAACAGCTCTTCCCTTACGCTTTCATAATCTTCAAGGCCATCACGTCTTTCCTGAGGACAGAAACTTCCTCCTCCTGCTTCTTCTTTTCCTTGTGCAGGAACTGGATGTAGTCAATGGCTGGGCATGAAAATGCCAAGTGAGGATTCCAGCGTGCACAGGAGCCCCCGAGACCTCCACGGAAGGTGTCTGAGCTGGGCAGCATCAGCTCCTGGCTGCCCCGATTCTCCTCGGGGAGGTGGCACCGGGGGTCCCCCAGTGCATCACAACCAGAAGGTCCCAAAGTGCTGAACCTCCGCGCCGCACGGCTCTAGTGAGGCCTTCTGGGGGTTGAGAGCACCCCCCTTTCCCTCTCCCCACCCTGAAGACTCACTTTTCTGGAGGACGATGGCCTTGCTCAGCTTCTGGGAACCGA